TTGCACCAGGTACGCCAACTTCGTCAAAATGATTACTTTTGTAATTAACAAATTGTGCTTATAACTGCACAGGTTTCAAAATTTTCTTGAAGTTCTTCAGTATTTGAGCTCTGAAGAAAAATTAAAAGAAAACTCTTTGTTTTAGCTTCACTATGAAAATGGTCCTGGCACGAGTGTCTATCAAGGCTGGGCATGCACATGCTTTCATGACACCAGATGCCCCTGTTTGACTGAGATTGTCAACTCTGCATCCCTTCAGAGAGATTAACTCCACTATTGCAAGAGTAGCCAGTGGCTATTGAAGGTGGGCATATACACCCTTTCATAAAACCTGATACCTCTGTTCAACTGAGATTGTCAGCTGACATTCCCTTCAGAGAGATTACACATATTGTTCTAGTAAATCTATATATTTCAGGTGTAATGATAGGTAATACAGATACAAACCATTACTCTAGATTTACCACAAATATTTATAGATTTACACCATCATTTATGTATCCAGAAGATCTCTCTAGATTTCATGGTAATAATGAAAGAATATCTATCAGGAACTACGAGCAAGCTATCAACTTTTATTATCATCTCATTAAGAATGTAGAGAAAGGTTTAATGACTTTACATAAACATGGTGAAGAACTATAGATGGCTGTTTTTACAAACTCTGTATTAATTAGTTGTCATAAGCTATAAATTACATCATTTTTTTAACATTTAATCCATTAAAGGAATACTACCTCTTAGAATGAACATAAATTATATATTTCTAAACTTGATCACACTGATGAATCTATACTTCTGTTCATTCTAAGAGGTAGTTTTCCTTTAAAACATGACCATTTGACCTCCATTTTAATATCAAAGATTTAAATTTTTTTTTTCTTGCAATTGAGCTGCCATCATTCAGACACAAGTTCCATTTTTGCTTATTGTTGATTGTTTTTTATTATTGTACAGACTCATTCCATATTCTAGTTAATAGTTTGTATGACTAAGATAAAGTATTTTGTATGGAAGATTGATCAGCTCGAAATCCAATTCCATTACAAAATAGCAATTAGGAATTAAGAACATTGGATTCTGAGCTGATTAGTCTTCCATAATGTTGTTTTTGTTAGAATGTTGTCATTTTTAAAGGCATAATGATAATGTATATAGTTTTTATTCTGAAATATATCACATGGATATCACATGGATATCACTTAATTACTTATATGATATATTTTAATGTTTGTATGATTTCTTAAATTCGTTTTGTTATGATTTTTGTGACTTAAAGTGTACAATCCTAGTTTTCTAAAATAAAAGTTTTGTTTACATTGTATTTGCCAGTCATGTATGATGTTACAGAAAGAAAAAAAAATTAATAATATGCCACTCACATATGGTGGTAGCATATCCTTGCAGACTGTTTATATTATAAAGTAACAGGTCCTTAGCATGCATTTCATATATAATTGGTAAACAAGATAACAACCTTTTTTTCAAATCAGCTGATTATAAACCTGAAATCCTTTTTTCCAGGTTGAAAGGTGATACAGATAATTGTTGTATACCATCTGTTGTAACAAATATTTAGAAACCTAAATTCTTGGAATGTGTTGCATTATCTATTGTGCTCAGGTTGTTGTATATTTTTCTACTTTATAAGAAAATAAATTTTTAAACTTAAATTTTTGTTTTTGAATTAAAGTATTTGTGGGATGGTTTACCACAGGGGAAGTCTTACTGAGATTCATATTTTACCATGAAATAAACCAAATAAAAAAGTTGTTAATGTACATGTTTTATTAAAGATACAAAGAATTATCGATTGATTTATTTTAACTAAGACTTGACCAGCCATTACCCCACACTGATTTTCTTACTATGTTTTTTGATTCATTAACCTATTTCCAAAATAGTGATAAATACTTAAGATTTTCATTTTAAATGTTCAATATATCTTATTAACATCTTAAATGACTTCAATGACATCATTCAATATGTCTTGGTTGTAAATGACTTACAACAAACATCATTCAATATGTCTTGGTAATTGAAGATTTACAACAAACATCATTCAATATATCTTGGCTGTAAATGACTTACAACAAACATCATTCAATATGTCTTGGTAATTAATGACTTACAACAAACAGCATTCAATATATCTTGGCTGTAAATGACTTACAGCAAACATCATTCAATATAACTTGGCTGAAAATGACTTACAACAAACATCATTCAATATGTCTTGGTAATAGATGATTTACAACAAACATCATTCAATATGTCTTGGTAATTAATGACTTACAACAAACAGCATTCAATATATCTTGGCTGTAAATGACTTACAACAAACATCATTCAATATAACTTGGCTGAAAATGACTTACAACAAACATCATTCAATATGTCTTGGTAATAGATGATTTACAACAAACATCATTCAATATATCTTGGTTGTAAATGACTTACAACAAACAGCATTCAATATGTCTTGGTAATTAATGCTTTACAACAATCATCATTCAATATATCTTGGCTGTAAATGACTTACAACAAACATCATTCAATATGCCTTGGTAATAGATGATTTACAACAAACATCATTCAATATATCTTGGTTATTGAAGATTTACAACAAACATCATTCAATGTATCTTGGTAACTACTGTTTTACAACAAACATCATTCAAGTATTATTATTGTTGTTATTAATGATGACGAACATCATTCAAATATTATTCTATATATTTTGGTTATTAATGAATAACATCATGACTAATCATTCTATATAAGATTTTCATTTTAAATATTCAATATATTCTTGTTTGTTTATTATATCTTGGTATTTACCACAAACATCATTTATTACATCTTGGTTGTTAATGAATAAATTTTGGTAACTTATTCTTTAAGTTTAAAACAAATATCGTTCAATTTATTTCTGTAATTAATGCTTGACAAAAACCATTATTGTATATATAATCATAATCAACGATTTACAACAAACATAACTAATTTACAACAAACATCATTCAATATACAAAAAGCACAATTCAATATATCTTGGTTGTTTACAATAAAAGTCATTGAATATATCCGACAACAAATTCATTGACATTTAATATCGGATTTTGATAACATACAAAAACATCATTTAATTTTGATTTTTAATCCATCATCCATTATATTTTGATTGTCATTGCATTATTTTATGGTCTGCTGGTGTACTTAACTTTCTTCGAGGAGAATCTTTAATTCATTAGTGCAGATGTGTCCGGATGTATCTTGCCGTGTAACTGTCTTCCTGTTAATCAAGTTACTATGCTCGCATTTGTTTTATTAAAATCTGATTAAAGTATAATATTACTGGATATTGCGTGGTTATTACCACACGATTAATATTTAACATCACGTGACCAATTAAAATGATAATTTGAAGTAACGTAAATCATCAGAAAGTCAGTAATCTTTTAAGTGATTAAAATCCGGATATCTTATCTTCTTACAAAAGTAAGTACTTTATATTCTTTAATATAAACTACATATTAGAAAATATTTCATCACTCTTTTTAGCTCTGTGATTAAAAAATACAATTTTTCATTGAAATATTTGAAATTAAGTATATAACATTTGCAAAATACACATTTCACATTTGATTAAATCAGGCCAAATACTAATGAATTATCAAAATCAGACACACGGATAAGAAAATGATTATATATTGCATGTTTTGCAATGGACGCATTTGTAAAGACAATTACTACAGGGATACCACATTAAGTGGTGTCTTTTTCTTAAACTAACCGATGTATATGTGATCTTCTGATGGCTGTCTTGAATAAATGCTGAAAACTGCCTTAGATGCCACTTGTAATGCATTTCAGATTAATATATCAATGAGGTGAAAGAAATGATGTATGTTATTCTATTAGTGTTGTATTATCTAACAGTATGTTCAGGTAAAATAAGACATTATTACCTAGCTGCTGTAGAATTAGAATGGGATTATGCTCCTCTTGGATCCAACATGGTTACAAATGACACGTAAGTATGGTTACAAATATTACTAGAATCCTTTCTCAAAAAATGTAAAATTTGGTCAAGAATCCATATGGGTATGTGCTATACTACCTGATAGAGTTCTATTTCAGTTATCCGTAAAAGGTTTCCAACCTTACAAATCAAAAACGTGCCGTCGAAGCAGACAACCCACTTTTCTATATTTTCCAGGACCATCTCGAATAATTTCATTAAAAATTCCAATAACAGAATTGGCAGTATTTACAGAAAGATTGTCTTCCGCCAATTTACAGACAACCTCTTCAACACACAGATTTCCACTCCAGAATGGATGGGTATTTTAGGACCTTTAATTAGAGCGGAAGTGGGTGATGAAATGAATGTACATTTTAAAAATCTAGCTTATTCAAGTGGCAGACCTTTTAGTGTTCATCCACATGGTGTTCTTTATTCTAAAGATAATGAAGGTAAGCCAATGAGTTAAATCGCAAATGCCAACTGTGGCCGATATAATATGGTAATTTATCTTTGACATAATTATCTTGCTGATCTATGTCGGACAATTCAGACAATTCGGGAATTCGGAATTTTACACCCACCGGCTTCCATTTGACATGAGTATTTTACACTTATTATACAATTCAAGCCCCCGTTCAGTACACTGTTAACCAATATAACATCCGGATGATGATCAGCGTATTTCCCATCTATATTGCCACACCCTATATTGTTAACCCTTTCTTGTAGTCCAACTAACGAATAAATTAAAAGGACCATTATATTTCTGTTCTAGGAGCGATCTACCTTGATAACACTTCCGGTGCTGATAAGATAGATGATGGCATTATGCCTGGACAGAATTATACCTATATTTGGAAAGTTACCCCGGAGTTCGGTCCGACACCAGCAGATCCATCTTGTATTCCATGGGGGTACCATTCACACGTCAATTCTGATAAAGATATCGACACTGGTTTGATGGGTATGCTCTTAACGTGTAAGGCAGGTACGCTCAATTATGTTTCTTTGCCTACAAACTTCATCATTACATCAATGCCAGAATTGATTTTGCCATTTGAGGGCCGATCTCAAATAACTAATCCCTGCTCGGAACCACATGGACAACATGAACAGATACTTCTTGTCCACGTTGATTTCCACGAGAACACGAGCTCTGTGAATGGGGCATTTGATCGGAAGGCATGCTAGTAATGGTTACTCTTAAAGATATTTTGTGTTCCAGGTGCACTGAATGTGGATGGAACTCGAAAGGATTACTCCAAGGAGTATATTGTGTACATGGATATAGCTGATGAAAACAATGCTTGGATGATCCAATCGAATCTCATGAAATGTGGTGATCCAGCACAATGTTTGCAATCTCCCGATATGGGTTTTCGACAAAGTAATGTGATGTGGCATATCAATGGATATGTGTATGGTAATCTACCAGGATTTGAAGTTAATGTTGATGAAAAGACGATGTGGTATATCATGTCGTTAAATACTGGAATACATTCCATCAGTTTTAGCGGGAACACATTAATACATCGTAATCACAGGTAACATTTCAGTAAATCTTGGCCCCTAGACTACGCAGTTGATAAGATAGACCTAGATTGTTCAACTGTGTTCAAGTTTCACGCCACTGTCCTTTCGAACTAGCTCCCATGTTTCTTCAATTTTGTACTTGTATTACTGTTTCGGTGCATACCTTAAAATGAAAATGACACTATTCCCTTTTTGTTTTTGGAAATAAAGTGTATGTCTCCTTTCAGGGTTGACACAATTCCATTTTTACCTTCCACGTTTCTGTCTGCCGAGATGATCCCAGCTAATGAAGGAAACTGGCTACTATACAGCAGAGTTTCCGAAAACTTCCAAGGTAAGTTTTGCATTAAATTTAAATATGGGTACGACCATACATGCAATCAAGTCAATACTTTATGATTAATTTCGTTAATCTTTCTTCCCAAATAGGTGGGATGGCGGCCTTCTATAAGGTGAATCCTAAAGTAATACCAAAGAGAAGGAGACAGGCGAACATTAATAGAAACCAAAGAAATGCTTTAAATGGTTTTCAAACAACCGGAATAAATCCTTATCTGAATCCACGGTTTTCAAACCTCTACCCTGGTACCCAAAGTATCCAATACAACGGAGGTCGATTGTTCAACACATTTTCAGCTACGGGGACAAGTACGATGGTTTGGAACCCAGACCAGTTTAGAAGGCGTTCAATGTATCCTGTTAATCTTTGGAACTTCAGACTGGGGTCTCGCATTGAATCAGCTCCTATACCTTCGGAGCCAACTGTAACCACTCCTACATCCACCACTGAAACTACAAAAACAATAACCACTGAGCCTGAACATCAACCAGTAGTAGCCAAAGAGGACCCAACAACCTTCGGAGATCAGCTTACGTCTGAGATAACAAAATTAACCTCTACACTAGACATTCTCACCAAGGCGGACTCCAACTTTTTGGACAACATATGGAAAAGACCTTCTGTTCCTATTTACCCAATACAAGCACCGGTATTTGGTTTAGCAGGTAATCGTTATAATCCATGGTATAGATACCAAGCGGGATCCATGTTCCCGTGGATGACGTCGTCAAGAAGATTTTCTAGAAACGCTCCAGCACTACCTGAGGCTGTGCGAACATTGGGTGAAATGAACGAAATCAGAAGATACTACTTATCCATAGAGAAAGATATCTGGAATTATGCTCCTTCTGGACAAGATAAGTTCAATGGTGGTCGTTTGTTGGATAATCCGTGAGTTATTCTTTCTATATATATTGTATTGTAACGATTTTAAAGAATGGGGTATACTTTCACTTTTGCATATTAGACTGATCAAACATTCTAGAATCACGACTTAAGAAAAAGCTGTTTGACTTATCCACTTGTGCAAAGAATCAATTGCCTATTTCAGAAAATCGAAACCATTCTTCGAAAAAGGTCCAACACGTATTGGTGGGGCGTATATAAAAGCTCGTTATGTGGAATATACTGATGGAACATTTACCAAACGCGTAGAACGATCTTTAGAGGAAGAGCATCTTGGATTGTTAGGACCCCCGATAGTAGCTGAAGTTGGTGATGATCTTGTAGTTGTTTTGAGGAATAATGCAGACAGACCATTCTCATTCCTACCTCATGGAGTTGTTTACCAAAAGAGCGACGAGGGCTTCAACTATAAGGACATAGAAAGTAAGTCGTGACAAAACTACCATCCAATCGTAAGTCGTTTTAGTGTTCAATTTGTGTTCCAAATGCATTACTCCAAATACATCTTCAGAACCACATTCCCGTATCTCGAACATCAAAAGGCCTCTAAGTAATGGCACTGGGTAACTTATTGAGATATTTTTCCCTTACTTCCAGGTGGTAAACTTACAGGAAAGATAGTAAATCCTGGTGGAACAGAGACCTACACCTTCTCTGTACCCAATATGAATGCTGGACCTACTGTAAACGATTCACCATGTATCACCCACACATACCAATCAGCTGTAAATCTGGTTAGAGATTTAAATACTGGATTGTTTGGACCTGTGGTGATCTGTAAGAGAGGTCAACTTAAAAATAGTTTCAACCAGGTACTATAGGTTATTTTATTTATTGGATTCATTGTGGTTAAGCTTCTGAATGCATGTAATGATAAAAGCAATACATACACGACATTCTTCGGCGCTGAATATTTTTTACAAAATTATCCAGAGAATTTTAAGTACATAAAGTCCGAATTTATCTCGAGCAACTGAATCGTTCTTTGGCTAAACATGCTTCTTGAGCCATCTTGAAAACTGCTTATGGATGCTTCGATCCAGCCAATAAAATATACTATTTGCTGTCTGTCTGTTGCTTCTTACAGGTCAACACACGATCCTGGTTTTTCAACCACAAGCACATCTACCTGGCACTGTTTACCATTGATGAGAATTTATCGTGGTATATTGATGAAAACATAAGAGCTTCTGCTTGGTCACCTCAACTGGTTGACAAACAAGATCCCATGTTTCAAGAATCAAATGCTATGCATTGTAAGTATGGTTAGATTCTTGAGTTGTTACATATATCTTGAAGATTTAAAAAGTAGTCGCTGAAGTTTTCCTTACAATCGGAGCTGGTTTAATGATATTGTTTGTGCACCCACAAGCCTATATCCCAGATAAGCAGTTGAATTCTAAATACATGCACATCCAAATGGTGATACCACGATACATTTATTTTTCAGCTATCAACGGTCTTCTATACGGTAATCTAGAAGGTATTGACATGTGTCTCAATGAGAACATTGTCTGGCATCTGATGGATTTTGGTGGAACTACAGATATGCATGGATTATATATTCATGGACAGACATGGGTAGAATTCGGGAACAATATTGATTCAAAGGGTCTTTTACCAGGTTATTCTTCTACCATGTGGTCGAAACCAGATACAGTTGGTAAGCATCTTCCATTTTCTTGATTTACTATATCATGTTCTCTCTTTGGTTAGTTGGTTGGTAGATGATAATTTGACCTCCGTTTCCTGTTGTTACTCATATCACAGACTAGTACCACTCTGGATCGATTGCTATTTTTCATCAAGAGGGGACATCGTGGATCTAGAAAAATAATGTAAGTCCTTGTTCTCTTTCTTTCATGAATCACAGGAACATGGGCATTGGAATGCCGAACGAATTCACATTTTGAGACGGGTATGGTGACAAAATACACGGTTAATCAGTGTAACAGAAGAGAAGCAGTAATGGGTAACACCAAAATCAGAAGATATCATATTGGCGCTGTAGAAGTAGAATGGGATTATGCTCCATTTAAAAGAAGTGTTACCAATGGACAACCCATTGATGATACAAATCAGTAAGTTGCTATATAATGGTGGTGGGGGGGGGAATTGCATGAAAACATAGTTTTTCCAAATTTGATATAAAAATCGGAAATAGCCTGGCGTAGATATAACAGATGACTGTATCATGAAACACACAAAACAATGCTTGGCTTTCTTTCAAATAAATTTTGAACTAATTTTTTCAGGAAAGGTGGTGTTTTCGTGGTGGATACTGATGTTCTTATTGGAAGTATATACAAGAAGGCTGTATACAGGCTCTTTTCTGATGCTTCTTTTAAAGAAGAAGTTCCACGTACTGCTGCTGAAGACCATCTTGAGATAATGGGACCTTATATTAAAGCGGAGGTCGGAGAACGGATAGAGGTTGTCTTTAAAAATATGGCAGGAAAACCATTGTCAATACATCCTCAGGGATTACAATATTCGAAATCCATGGAAGGAGCTAATTACTTTGACGATAATGGAAATGTTGAACCGGCTAATTCTGTTGATCCTGGACAAACTTTCACTTACAAATGGACAGTACCCATCAGATCTGGACCAGGCGTAAATGATCCTAACTGTATTGGAAGAATGTACTACTCCTCGGTTGATTCAGTCGTCGATACATACACTGGTCTTTTTGGACCACTAGTTTTATGTAGGAGTGGGATTCTGAACGAAAATGGACAACGAACGGACGTAGATAAAGAGTTTGCAGTCATGTTTATGGTCATTGACGAGAATAAAAGTTTCTATTTCAAAGAAAACATTCAGAAGTATGCTCCGATGCACAATCAAATGATTTCAAATGGTGATATTGTTCCTGAACCTAACCACCTCAATGTTCCAATTCAAGGTATCAGGCCAGTGACAAATTCCGCAATGAACATTTCTTCAGATCCTAGTATCCTTAATGCGATCAACAACCATAACATGGTCGACGTACACCACACTCATACCTCTATGAATCATGGAAAGATGGATCCAGCCATGAACATGGGAAACCAGAATGTTATGGACAAAATGGACATACAATTAGGTGGTAGAATGTCTTCACAGTCGAAACAAACTTCCATGTCCAATCTTGATATGGAAATGTCTATGAATGGCAATGGTAATTCACTACAGGAAGGTGCAAACACAAACACTATTGAGAAAGGGTCAACTCCTGTTGAAGGTGAAAATAAACGGTTGTCTAAGATGAATCCAACTCTTGATAATACAGATGCTAGTATAACCGCATTTTTTCCAAACCGTAGACGCAAGAAGCGCAACATTTCGAACAAACAACTACCACATAAAGATTTAAAGCAGATTATTAAAACGTCAATGAAATCACTTTCGAAGAATCGATTCAGGCGGCAAGTTAACAACCCTCATCATATGAAAAGCCAAATGAACGCAAGTTCCACAATGATGTCACATAGAAACATCCACGTCAACCATGCTGGTAATGGGGAAATGATGTTTGAACACAGCAATCACATGAACGCTATAAATGGACGACTTATGGGCAATCTGAACGGTATAGTCATGGACCAGAATGATAAGGTAGTCTGGTACATCATGGGTCTTGGCTCTGCTGAAGACTATCATCCTGTACACATACATGGACAAGTTTTCACAAGGCGTTCAGATCGTGCTCATAGATCGGATGTGATTGAAGTGTTCCCGTCTACATCTGACACTGTAGAAATGTTAGCGGTGAATCCGGGACAATGGATTCTTCACTGTCATTTCAGCAAACATAATAAAAATGGTATGCAGTTGATATATACTGTAAATCCAAAGCCATAAAGACAACCTCTAGAATACTATAACTTGAAAGAAGAGCCTTGAATAATATCTATTTATACAATATTTCAGGAGGAATCAAACAAAAGAGTAATTGGTTATTTCAAGAAAAAGTTTTTAATTTTACGCATCTTTTTCAGGGATCTCATTGTAAATAACATGTTTTGTAAATAAAAGTTATACCAGAGTTGATCAGAATGGACTCTTTGTCTAAATGTCCCATATCTTGGTAATAAAGAGAGAGGCTCACCATCCTACCATACTCTTAGAAACTGGAATTTTTTAGCTAAACTAATCAGTAATAGCGTTCTCAGCTCACCATCCAAATTTGAGCCACCAAATCTATATGTGAAGTTAAAATGACAGGTGAAATAACAGTGAAATTTTCAGTACAATATTAGGAATTATGCAATATTCGTGCAGTTTTAGTACTTCTGAAGACTATCAACATGTATTCAAGACCAAAATCAACCCACAAAATTGATGAACTATGGCCTTCAGAGCTCGTGATTAAGAGAACAAGGAGAACAAACTTGATGGTTGAAAGATATTATATATTGTCCTTAATATTTATTATAATACACAGAAGTAAATAGTTATACATCAACAAAAATAATTCATATTACAATGTCATTATGATTAGAATGATCAAAAAGAATTTGCTTAATTTTTATCTATCAAACATGCACCAAATTATATCATTAAACCATAAACAACCATCCTTTCAAAACTAAGAGCTGTTTGAACTGTGCCCCCTTCTTTTGTAAAAGGAAACTATGGTAACTAAGAAAGATGTGAATTTGTTTGTAGGTTTAATGTAGATGTTATTTCTATTTCTTGTACAAAAATCATTTTCAATCTTGAGGATCAATGGCATCATGAGTTCAAATTCTTACTCTAGCACAAATTTATATAATAGAAAATAGAATGGCGGTAATTTCTTTACATTCAAAATTTCTTTACCAAAATATACAACATACATCAACTGGAAATATAGATTCAAGAGCGTGGTTTCACTCAGATTTAATTTGGGTGAATTTCTTACAGCTTCACATGACACCACCAACTTCAAAAAGGCAAAATTTAAAAAGTTATTTAATCAAATCATCATTTTCTTAGATGGACAACAAATACCAGTAAAATATCAGTCATCACATAATATATGCCTCCAGAAATATCATATTTTGTCTGAATTGGTTGTCAATCCTAGTAAAACTTTGGCAATGTTCTAAATATCTAACAATTATATTAACAATGATTTCTTGGACTAGATGTCATTCCAATCAATTCTGTTGATTTTCTCGATCTTTATCTAAAAACACAAACCATACCATTCCAAAATAAAGTCCTTATCATCATTGTCCTTCATCCTGTCCTTTAAAATTGTCTTTATATACACTTTCTTATAGTCTAAATTGACCTTTGACCTTCTGAAATTTGTCCTTGCCCTTTATTCACATCACTAATACACACCCACTGTCCTTCAGTTGATTCTTTCCATAAACTTACCTAAAAATTAAAGAATTAATCAATTTTGTATCTTTTATTGTGTTGAGTACAAAATATCTATCAACACAATTCAAGTTTACTTTAGAGTGATAAACATATGTCTTACAGTTAACCATGCTTTAATAGCACATGAGAACATAAGTTAACCCAGGTCGCCTTGTGACTTACAGATTCTGAGAGCAATTGAATTTCATAAGGTTTGCTAGCATATGGTGGTATCTGCGAGGAACTATAAATCAATAATGGATTTAGTTCTCCAATTCTCACTGCTTCTCATATTCTTTTATCCAGCAAAATTACGAAGTTGTCCTTTACATGAACAGTTGCAATCTGCAACCATCTCCTGATCAGTTACCAGAATCACAGATACTTGGGGCTGGCTTATTAGTCAATATGAGTGTTTCGTTCACACAGAAATGCTTTGAACTGCCAGTTGTTCAGAGCACACCTGTAAACTTTTAATTACATTGTGAAATAAATCAATATTACTCACTTTATTATCTCCCCCTGATACAGCTAAAATATTTCCAGTTATACTCCAACTAACATGCCACACAACATCATTAAATTTCTGTAAAACTTTAGATACCCAGGTAGTATTGCTACCATCATTGGTCCATATTATAACTCTACAATCCTATAACAGATAAATATTGTATTTTAAATAACGTAATGTTGGGTACCAGTCACATAAAACAGATTTACAAAAACATAATATTTTTACTGTTACAATAGTGTTCAATACATCAGTTTGTAGAGAGTTATAGAAATATAAGACATTTTGTTACTTGCATGTTAGACTGTGTGATCTACTGAGTAAGGGAGTAGGCTGAAATAACTCATTTGGCTGAAGATTGCAGAACATGAAACTCTGAGTTCTGTTTTAATATTTCTAAAACAGGTTGAGGTCAAAGATTCCTTTACCAAGTATGGAACCATGCTGTATAAAGTTCAATATTCAGACCAAATCTTAAATACTCTATGAGAATTGAAAACCCACCTGAGAACATGTTGCTATTATACTTTTAGGTAGTCCTATAGAGGGTGCCCAGGCTACATCTCTAACCCAATCACTATGTCCATCTAATTTCTGTTCTTCTATCCACTGACCTTCTTCTTCTCTATAAAATACAATAATAGATGTCTCATTATTACAAATGATAAATGTAAATGACTGCTAACGAAAAGAGTCATCACAACAATTTGGCATACGTTAGGAGAGAAACAACCATTTATTACAAAGATAAAAACTAAGGTTCACGAGGATTATTTTTGCTAGCTGGTCCTTGTTCAAACCTAAACATTGATTGACAGCACTCATACCTCCATATTTTGACTAGGTTATCACATCCACCAGATACAATACGTTTAACAGGTTGTTGTCTGATTCCAGTATCAAATAATGAATTTGGTGTAACAGCTGGTGCCCAACTAACAGCATTACATCCTATCTATAATTAAAGAGAAGCAATACATACAAAATCCATGAACCAAGAGTAAGGTATATGAAAAACATACTGTTTAACCAATGATTATTTCAACCATTTAAGTATAATAGAGATTTCCAAACATAACTTATCTTGAAAAAATATAAAAGGAAAAAATTTAGTTTTCTAAATTAACTTACAGAATGAGCATTATTTATTTTCTTAGAATCCCATGTTCCATCTCCTAGAAAATAAAAAAAAACAAATAAATAAATTAAAATACACATGTACAAAAAATGTATTATATATATATATATCTGATGCACTCTGTATTGAATATATATTTTAATTGCTATTTAACTATACAACAAATCAAAAAATATATATATATGTACCTGTACTGGATATTATGGATATAGTACCATCAGAACTTCCACAAGCTAATAATAACCCAAATTCATGTGGTGCAAAAGCTACAGAATTAACTACAAAATACAAAAAAAACTGATAAAAGCAAAAATAATAAACTTGCATAAAACATAAGTAAAAGACCTTTCTTTGAGTGGTATAAGCTAACTAATATATAGGTGTAATAATCACATAAAGGTAATTACATTGACTCAATGGAATGGTAAAAACATTGTGATGATTAATACATTGCCTTAATTTGTGTGATTGCATGTATCTGCTGTGGAAGACTAACTAACTATCACTCATTACCTTTGACTGTTAAATTTTGTTTCTGTTAAGATTTCATTATCAAAACTTAAAGGATATCATTTAATATATTTTATGTCTTGAATCCTGTAGTTGTCATTACATGTACACAATGTATTCATTTACCTGATGAGTCATGATTTGTGTATTCATATATCTTGCCCCATGTACCATTATTTTCTTTCCATATTATAACTTTTCTATCATAACCACATGAGGCTAAGGTATTACCAAACATAGGATGTGCCCATGCTAGCTGCCATACTGGACCTTCATGCCTAGAATTAAAAGTATCCCTTTATTTCTAAATCAATACAAAAAACATGAAATTTTACAAATGATATTGATAACATTAAACATATATCTGAAAACTAAACCATCTAAAGTACAAAAGAAACAAGAAATAATTCAACATAGTATTTGTTTCATATTCATACAAATCATAATATCAATTTTTAAATAACCTATTATTGAAGAAAATGGTTGAACTTACCCTGCTAGATCTGATATCAAAGTCTGTTGTCCATTTCTAACATCAAATACTTTTACAGATCTATCTGATGAACATGTAGCTAATTTGGTTCCATAATAATCTAGCTGAGCATCATGCTAAAATACAAAACAGAACATATGGGACCATTCACTGTTAAAACAAACACCAAATACCATTTCCAAATGTGCAAGTGTATGGAAAGCTTGTTTGCATATTAAGGCCTTATTTCGTTACATTCCACAAAGAAAGAACAGTGTATCAATGTAATTTAAGGTCCTTTATTGTCTAAGGTATGGTACCAGTAATATTTAAATAACTTACCACCATATCTTCGTGAGCAGTGTCAACTGTATTTAAAACAGATACCTGAAAACAAATATCAAATCATCATTATAGCACTATTCATTCACACTATTGACTTGACATTGGCAAGGCTATCATTTATTTCATTAGGCCTGGTATCAGTAATCTTACTATTACACAAAACCAGATCATATATATAGATAATTTTGGATATTAGATTTAGACCCTTTCATGCGATAAAATTCACTTATCAAACGATATCTTATTAATCATAAGACTATAGAGAAGAGAATGAGATTGTAAACAATAAAACTGATATTGAAAAGAAAATAGTGTGAAGTGAAGATGACAGACTGAACCAAGCCGGTGAATAAAATGGAATGGTTTGCCTTTAGGCCTAAAACTCAAAATATTGCAATAAAACATACACTTACCATACTGGTGTCGTAATACAAACACACCCACTGGATAAAATGATTATTTTAATAGAACAAACACGGAAATTTGTCTAAACTGTTGAATTTATTTCAGTTTTATGTTTTGGCGAACGTGGCAGAATCAACTTCCGGTTGCCATTTAGGTCGTTTCGAAACATATTTACCAAGTCACTACGTGTCAATATTCAATATCTTTTTCTTCATGATCATTATTACACTGAAAATTCGAAATTGGTTGAGAAAATAAAAGCGAAGCGGTTCCATACGTAGACTCTATCCTCTATCAGAAGTAGAAAGGTATTTTATGCATATGTTACGAAACATCTCATTTTTGTCATCGTGAGTGAGTTATATTTTGCATTTTTCGGCACTTAAAAGATTGGCGGAAGTTTCAAAATGGCGTCCCTCACAGCAAGGTATGTAAACAAAATCTCGTTATTTACATTCTTACACCTGGGTTTATAATATTTTACGAAAATGTATGAGCCTGGTGATAGTAATTCAAATAATGAATGTGACTAAATGGTTATCCATTAAATAAATTGATGAGATAAATATGCCCAGCACTATAGCAATCATGGACTCAACTCTCAAGACCATTTTTCAAACTTCAACTTGTTTCAACTTGTCTTCTTCATTCAAAAATATTACTATTTTACTTTTGTCCGAAAAAACAACAGTCTTATCTTAATTTATTTTAATCTCTTGGAATTTATTATCTTTGATAACCTAAGTTTGTAAAAATTTAGGTATATTATGGTAAGTTATTGTGCAAAAGCAAATGCCTGCTTGGTGCATGATATGGTTTGAGTGCCACTTTTTAAAAACTTTATATTTCAGTACTATATCACCAAATCAGTTTTTAAGTAGATCACCTAAAAGTAAACGGAAGAGTAAAATGAAAGATGGTAAGAGTTATGATAACAGTGGTAGTGGTTTTTCTAGTCCAACTCCTGGTGGTGAATCTCCATTACCAGGCATCAATGAAAGACTTGGTAAGTACTGTCCTCTTTCCAGAAGCAGCTTACAGCCCTATGTAGTTTACATTTAAAATCTTTCAAATATAATTCAATAATAAGATGAAAATTAGTTTGATTTTATACTTTTCAGGTCAACTACGTCCATCTCGTGAGTTATTAGAATATTATCGTAAGAAGATAGCTGAATATGATGATGAACATGATCAGTTAGTATGTAAATTAGAAGAGTATAGAGTAACATATGAAGATCAAGTGAGTTGACCACATTTATGTTAAGAGTGAAAATGATTTTTAGCTGATGGTTTTAAAACTAAGTGTCAATAGATGTGAGAAATTGTGTGCACTTGGATGACCAATTGTCAATTGTTTCTTGGAGTAAATGAAAAAGTTTTGTATTTTTTTTCCTATTGTGATGATACCAGGTGTATGACAATCCAATTTATTTTTTAAATTTATTTCAGCATCATTTACAATGGGAATTGAGACAAAGAGAGGAAGAAATTGTAGAATTACAGAAAGCTTTAAGTGACATGCAGATCTACTTATTCCAAGAAAGAGAACATGTTTTAAGGCTGTATGCTGAAAATGACAGGTTGAAGGTAAGCTTATATCAGTCAAATTGAAGAAATTAGGAATTTTTTTTATGACCTTGAATAAGACATCCTTCCTCTTTATTCCTGTCTGTAAATGGGTGCAGATAATTTTGGAAAGGATTAGTCCTGGTAGACAAGATCCTTTGTGAACATTAGTTGTTATTCTTTTAAAATATACTTAATTTCTTTCTTATAATATATTCAAAGAAAAGTAAGAGATCCAAAATTGATGTTGTACCAGTTTTTTTGAAGAACACTGAAAGTTTTTGTCATTGATAGATTCGTGAATTAGAAGATAAGAAGAAGATACAACAACTATTAGCTCTAGGTGGAGGTGGGAGGGGTGATAGTGAAATTACCTATTTTATAAAAGAACCACCAGCTAAAGCTATAGTACCACAAAAACTACCCAAGAAAAATAATCAGAAAGATGACAATAGAGTTGCTAAAAGTAAGTTTAAAGACCTAGCAGTCACCAGTCATGTTCTCATGTTTGCACTTCACAAAAACTTTAGGCCTGATGGGTCATATGCTGAAATACATCAGTTGTCTGAAGATTGTACAGTGTGAAACTCAGAGTAATAACATGTTTCAGGGTCTATTTTAATATTTGTATATTGATCTACAATTGATGTATTGAGATCTATTTTAACAGTGAAAATGTATTGTAATTGTTTTTTTGTCTATTAATAGATACCAAGAAACATTTACCATTAAATGATAGAAGATTATCAATGTCTCCAGAACCAGAGAAGAAATATGAACATGATAATGAAGTATTAACATTACATATAGAATCATTACAATCTCAGTTAGCTGAACAGGCTAAATTAGCTAAAGAACAGTATGATGCTCTATTAGAAGATAGAAGAGTCAAAGATGAAGAATTTGAAACCAGGAAACAGAGAGATGAAGAAAAAATCAGATTATTGACGGAAAAGTAAGTAAAATCTTGCAAAAATTCAACAATGAAGCCTTTTTGGGAACTGTTTTGCACCTTTCTCAATACACAGGAATATTTATATACAAGTTGTAAATTTATCCATATTCATACAGCTCCCAAAGTGGCAAATCTCAACAGTTAACCCTAAGTTAAAAAACAAATTGTATGTTTCCTTTCGATGGAGGAATCAAATCTCTTGGGTTCAACTTTTTAACTAGCTCCTGTTCTAAGAAAACAGATGATGATCACAGTTTTGTTTTTATTTCAATTTATCCTACCAGCATTACATTAATACTCAATTTCTTGTCCATTTCAGATTACATAAAACCCAAGATTTGCTGTATGTTAGTACTAAAGATTTTCTAGATCAGAGATATCAAGGTAGAGAAATAGAGAGACAATGGATGGCAGAGAAAGATAAATTATTACGAGAACTAGATGTATGTAAACAGAAGATGAATATTAAAAAAGATACCATATTAAATGTACAGGATTGTGCCTATGAAAATTCTGCTGATAAAGAGGAATTGAAGGTAATTCTAATGTTACTCATATTTGAACTGTCATTTTGAGTACTAGACTGGGACGTATTGTTTTTCAGAAGGGTCAAAAATATTGAACTAATATTCGGCAGTATCTACATGTAACCGTAGTTTTCTTCTACATTGGATAAATGCTGTGTACGCTGAAAATCCCTCAACAGTTGGAAATTGAAAAGAGTAGGCTAGTGCAGCTGTCCTTGCAAAATTTCCCTCACTTTACTACTCAAACATACTTTTTGAAGTCCTTTTTTATCAAGTTTTATTCAAAGTGGATACCGGTAAATTATAACTTACAACTTTGTTTATATATATTGTAGTCACTAGAATATCAGTTAGTACAATCACAGAAACTATGTGATAACTATAGGGAACAAGTGATACAATTAGAAGATGAGTTATCTAGATTACGTGAGGAGGGTGATGTAACTCGTGAAATATTTAAGGTAATCTATTGCTTATTTTATGTTGTCATTCAACTACCAACTACCAAGACTTGCCATCTACCAAGCAGCCAAAATTTTTTTACTTCAACAAGATTTCTTGTTTTTGTTTTATTAAATGCACAAACACATCAAATTCTATGGATGGAGTTAAAAACACTATCTTAAATTACAAAATGTGTTGTCTGGGTTTATGTATGTACTCTCCAGTGTATAAATCAGAATTTGATGTCCTGATTATGGTCACATTATCATAAACATGTAGTCAGCAATGATACAATTCTCATTCCTTTCCTTGTGTACACATTTTTGTGTTGTAGGATCGAAGTGGCAAAATGACTCAAAGATTACAATTGATGAATTCACGGTATGAAGATTTAGAAAGAAGAAGAAATCTAGAAGTTGAAGGTTTTAAAACTGATATTAAGAATCTACGAGGTCGATTAAAAGATGTAGAAAGACAGCTATATAAGGTATGATTTATGTTACACTCTAGTTCTGTTCTATAATCCCAATAAGTATATAATATTCATAATTTTCTTCACTTTCTTCCATACACAAAAACATGATTATCAGTCATTGATTTCAGTTTTCCATCTTTCTTCCTCAATAAGAATAATTCTTATGCCACAGCCAATGTTTCTGAGTGTCAGTTAAACGTTGGCTTGGCTTTTCACTTTGGCAGTTGCAAAGCTCAGTTGTTAGATTAGGCAATGTGTTATAAAATTAATCATTCTCAAGTCAAGAATAATTCCAATGCTACAGCCAGTCAGGGTGTCATCAACCCATATCACCCCTTCTACTGGACAACTTTCAGTCATTAGTAGTATCAATAGTATCCATAAATTGATGGATTGTTATAAATTTGATATTACAGGTTACTCTTGGTTTTACTGAAGATATGGATATCAAAAAAACGGATGATTTAGATTTACAAATATTGAAAAATGTTCGTACTACTGCTGGTAGATCTAAAAAGATGTTTGGTGAATTAAAGAACTTAAAATCTAAAATATATGGACTAGAGACAGATTTAAAACATCTTTGATCTTTTTAACGATTTTATCTTATAAAACTGTGATATAGATTATTTTAATTGCACCAAGATGTTAGGAAACGCTTCAAATAATATAAAAAGTTTAAAGGAAGTGGTGAGAACTCAATACCTATTAGTCAGTATCAGACAGCCTAAAACTGATTTCTGATGCTGAATTCTTATTAAATGATCGAGTTCTTTAGTCATAACCAATCTGTTGTATTTTCTAGAGTTGAGACTCTTGTGGTGCGGTTAGAAGCTATGGTCTGATCCCTGCAATTCAGACAGTTGAACATGAGGATTATGGTAGATCTAATCTTGTAATTGCATGTTTTGGGTTGGTTAAAAGTGTGGTCATATTGCCTTTACTCAATCAAATTTTATCACGACCGTCAGCCTACATCAGCATTGATGATAATGTCATTTCTCAATTAACTTGAGCTCAATTGCAAGGGTTCAGATGAGCTATTCATATATTATTTCAACTGTAGAAAAAAAGGGTTACAATTTGTTATGTTGAGTGTCAAGAACATTGTTGTGTATACCACATAGAACTATTTATTGATAATACTGTATATTTTATTGGTGTTTATTAAGTAACTGATAATATCAAGCCATATCTTTCATGATTTTATTCATTATCTTGTATAGCATTTGTTGTAATATATTCAGATGAAATATAGTTAATTAATTACTTTTGTTATTCTGATTGTTTTTGCACTTGATTTCTAGGTGCTTTTTCCTTAATGGACTTACCTACCAAGGGAAACTTTGGATGAACTATCTTGATCTATGGCAGGTCAAATGATTTGATTGTGATCCCCTGAGATATGCTATATAAGAAAAGCCTCCAAATTTTAATTTCAGATCTTATCAGATCAAGGACATATTAGATCACCCTACGGTGTTTTGATAGGCAAGTTTGAAAACACAAGCAGTCCATAATGTCAGGTTGCTGTGAATCATACCAAAATGAGCCAATTTGATTAACATACAATTTTTCCCATCTTCTTGTCATCCATGATCTGACAGAACTGTTATGCATCTCTTGTTTCCAGGTCATATATTTGACCAATCAAATGCTCCTCAGATCATGAACAAATTCTATCACATTGAGCAAAGATGTTAGTGCAATTTGCGAACAATAACACAAGCAATCCAATTTATTTGTATGTCATTATTGTTTTGAATCATAACAAGATAAGCACAAATATTTTTGCTGTAATATAAATCATAAAAAAAACAAACAAAGAACTGTATTACATTTTTTTATTTTGGCTTTTTCACAAACAATACCCATTATGGGTGAGAGTAAATTAGTAATGGTCCTTTCCTGATGAAAGGTAGACATTTTGAAACACACTAAATTTTATGTATTACAGAGTTATTTACAACAAAATGGAAAATGTTCTGCATAAATTAGAAATTAATTTAATGATAGAAACGAGTTTTAAAATAAATACTTATAGACAACATTCAAAACTAGTTGGGAACTAATTTTTTGCTTAATTCTTTCAGCTCCTTCACTTAAGTCGAAACTTACAAGACAGAAAAAAATCTGAAGAATATATAACAATACCTGCTAATGTCTAATGTATATGACTAGTATTTTGGGTAGAATTATTAGTTATTGCAATAAACTAGGTTAGCACTACATGATTTCTCTTCAAGAATTGAGAACTATCTCATTTGGAATGAAAGGAAAATATTTAAACAAGAATTTCAAGAAGAAATATTTAAGAATATAGATTTCATTTGATAAAACTCTGTCACTTGATGACAAGAGAATATAATTGTGAACTTGGTAAAAACAAGATAACATTTTTAGTATGTGAAATCTTTCACCAATGTTAAACACTTGCCTTACACAATGACACCCAAATACTTGAGAATTTGACAATATTATTTGTAGGTTACAATAAACTGAAAATTGATAATGTCAACAATAACAACTTGGTAAACAATGAAACTCAACATCTAAATTTCAATTTAAAACTTTTAAAATTGAACTACTGGATTTAAAAATAGTTTTAATTTTGGTCTGGGTTTCTTTAATGCTCATTTCTAGATTGTCAACAAAAATAAATTTTCTATAATTGTCTTCGTTAAACAGGTGAACAATATAGTCAGTTAAGAGTGAAAATGAATGCACAAAGCTATGCTTAATCTATGCATGCATAGAAAATGAAAATTTGCATATTCAATATACTGCATGTTTCCAAAATGCTTTATACGCTGATAGCAGCATAAAATCTGCTTTATTAAGTCCATTATGCAAATGATCTTTACTTATGAAAGAGAAATTAAATGAATTTAATATTAATTTAAGGAATGAATATTCCATATTGTTTGCCTCCAACATTTTTATATTTCTTTACAAAATGTCTAAATATATACAAGCTAGTCCATTCTACGTTTTTTCTATCTTATATTTGCAATTTGAATAATTCTTACAAAATCTACAATGGTTACTGAATTGTCATTTTTGCTATTCAAAGATAAGATATAACTCGAATCAGTGAATTACAAACTCTTATAGGTTATATGTGCCACTCATATTTAAATCTACTCTAGTAAAATAGTATTTACTTGACTATTCTAAACAGTTTTCACAATACGATTATTCTTTTAATTCCATCTTCATATATCCACAACTTGATACATTATAAATGTGAGTGGAACATGTAGCCTCAAAATAAACTTGTCCGTTTATGAATGTTCACTAAAACTTACTACAAAAAATATCACTGAAGGCATATTTCAAGATCATCCTTTTCTCTGGGACTCCCTACTCATTTACAACCAATCTGAAACTGGATTCCGAATCCATGTCACTTGTTTACAACGGTTTGCCCTGAATCCGAATCTCGATTCCGCCAAAGTAGTCTTGCTTTTCGAATCTGTTTCACTTGTTTACAACACGAATCTGATGTACCAGACCCGTTTCGGATTTTTCGTAATCGTGTAGGGCCTTACCATTGTAGAAAAACTTCAAAAAACCTTCAGTTGATATTATTCTGAGTAATAAGCTCTAGTGTGCCCAATCCATTTAATAATTAAACACAAAATTAACTGAAAGACTTGGGTGAAAAAATATTTTTCTTACTTCTGATTAGCTAATCTAATTTTTGACAAAAATTAACAAAATAAAATGTAAAGTGTTTGCAATAATTGAAGACATTTAAATAAGAATGGAGAATATATAAATAAAATTGAAATTGTTTGCATAAAATATTTGATAAGTTAAATTCTACCGTATATTACAATTTCTACCTGATAAGTTAGGACATGCATCAATCATATTACTGTTAATATTACACAACACACACCACTGAGTCAAACCCGCCATTCTGCAAACATACCTCAAAGATCCAGTTTTCTAGAGTTACGTTATGTCCTGCTAGACATGACGACACAGCAGATACGGGTCAATAACTTATCATACAAATTATAGATAAGAACTCTCCTATGTAAAGAGGCACATAAAGGTCCTACATGTCAGCTGCTTCATGACTTTAAATCTATCAAACCTGTGGAATATGAGTTCAGTATAGTAAACACAAGATGTTATGAAGTTTAACTTCTCATAATGACTGTAAATTGTATCTTTGAGGATTTATAGAAGAAGTAGCCCTGGTCCCAATTCAATATTACACTCCTAATAATATGATGATATATAATGTAATATAATTATTTGATTGTTTTTGATAATACCAATATAGGTATATCAATATATCAGTGCCATGGTTATAAAGCACTGTGATTGCTATGTAACAAGTCTTCATCTAAAACTAATCCAATATTGGTCGCTATGGTAACCAAAATCTAGTCTAGACATGCGTTAATTAATACTTTCATTGTTCTTATCACAAAAATTACGTTCATCCTTCATTGTCAAAAGCGCTTTCCACTCGACTTCTGTCACTTTTACCACATTTCACTCTCCTTTGAATGGTCAGTTCATCTATCTCTTCCAGTTTATCCCAAAACTTCTCACATTATACTTCTGTTCCGGCTGGTAAATTTCCCCGCAGTTTGACAGGAGAAGATTTAGGTTTAGCTGGACTGATAGCTTTGGTGAGTCCGCTAACTTTAGTGATAGATGCACCTTTAAGTGTTAGTTTAGTTGGAGTAGATGAGTTGAAGGTCTGCGCAATAGAATCATCTCGACTACCAGCACTACCTACACTACCAGATACCTGTCAAAACATAGAATGATAAAATCATCAAAAAATGCTAGATTGTTAAATTGAAAAGTAAATACAGCTTAATAATTTTGCAGTGTTGGAAAGAATGGGTATATAAAACCTTCGATGTTTTAGAAAACTATTTTTTTGATGGAAGTAAAAACTTGATGAATTTTGTCAGTAGACTTGATGACCTTTTCTTGATAATTATTCAATGTAACATATTTTTGATGTCCAACTGAAATAAAAACACTCACCACTCCACTATCGAGAGATGCACCACTACTACCTCGTTTCATCCCAAGGTCTAAAAATATAAACATACACTAGTTAGGAAATATTACACAATAGTGTGAAATAATAGAGCGTTTATCTTAGATGACCCTTACAGAATACAGGCTTGAATTTCAACTTACATAAAAGATACAGCCCTTGTCTCTTACACTTTTTGGCAAGGTTTTGACAAATCTTTTTCAAATTTGAAATTTGGCTAAAATGACTATAGGACAACTGACATGGAGAGTTTAGGTATTAGATTCCAAGCAATAAAAATATCATTGAACGAACTTGATAAAATCATATTACATGTTAAAGGACTTATTAAAGACAATGCCTTTATGAGAATGAGTCATAATATGATGAACATGAATTGACAGCAACTACTGACAGCCTATTACACCTTTACCAATCAACAACAAATATCGGGAAAGATTTAACAACATGTATAAGCTACAACAACCCATATAAAACCACTAAAATAACTACCAGGTAAAAAAATTTCAGGTTTGGCTTTTTAACATCAGAATTCACAAAACTGCCCTAAATAATTGAAAACCTTGATATTTTTTAATCAGATATAAATCAAAATCCATCCCCAATTTTGTTTTGATGAGAATTTGCCTAGCCTTTGTATGTTTATCTGAGACATCTTAAATTGTTTGATTGATATCTATTAATCTATGTATATCTACAGACATCTGATTGAAAATCAGAATGGTGCCAATAGAAGCTGCAAGTGTGTTCAGACACAAAGGCAAAACAAAACACTTTTGAATCTGTATAATTTTTTGTCTCTAGTTTCAGAATATATTTCATACTGAAGAAATTCAACGAGACAAAACTTACAAGGTAGCAACATAATGGCCATACTGTTTGATTGAGAAAAAGGAAATATAAAAAAAGAACACCAACTACAACTTGGGGTCACAACTAATATCTAACACCATATAGAACCTAACCTTAGTAAAACATAAAAGCAACAGTAGCTAAGAAATTATATAAATTTGCCTGTAACCATAGAAACTAAAGCAAAAAAATGAATCAGTACAGTAATAGCCTAAAAATGGATATTAAACACAAGTGTCCTTAACAAATAAATAATTGAAAAAATCAAATACTGTAACCAAAATAATACACTGAGATGAAAACCTTGAACATTAAATAAAAACATGATAAAGGAATGAAAATGAAGGGTGCAAACAAATTCTTAGTAAAAATAACAATATTCAAGAAATTTTCCAAAGGGATAGTAAATACAGCTTAATCAACAGAATGAAATGCAACAAAAATTTAGAAATTGGAAACGAAAATGCACATGAAACATTGATCAACTTAACATTGAAAGAATGTAATGCAACGTTACCTTTGATGCCACATTTGAACACAAAAGTATTTCATTTGATGTAAAAATAATAATAATAGAACAAAATAATGAGAGCAAATCAAAACTCCACTAGGTTATCCCCCTTGAATCCTTCAAAAATTGTTTGGAAAGGAAAATATTTAGATAATTTTTGAATTTTAAATTGTTTCAGACATTCCTACTTAAATTTGGTAACATTTCTATAGTCACAGTGACATTAGTCTCTTTCACAAAATATTCAATTTAGTATTTCACAGTTGTTTAAAATTTGTTGATTATGAAAAGGGAGGGAAAATGATAAACCATCACCATCTTTTGATGACAAATGTGAAAGAACATAATAATTACTTTGTGGAGTGTTGATTTTATTTCAACGTTCATGCAGCATGCTCATGCATACCTGGTGACAATTCATTGAGAGAGTTGGACAAAGAAGATTTCTTTAAGCCACATTCAGGGGCAGACAACCTATTAACAGTACTGTCAGACGTGTTATTCACCAAATCGTACATGTGAACTCTGGAATCATCATTGGCGTAGTGTTTATCTAGAGTATTATGAGTTTTACGATGTCGCTGCAATTCTTCTTCTATTCTCAACTGTTCCATTCCATTTGTCTGAAATTTTGAAATCAAATGTCATTAATCAAAGTCAAAGGTAAAGACAATTGCAAAGTTTGTATCTCCATTTCAAGTTACTACAAACAAATAAGTGTTACCTGTCAAAATTTTTAAAAAGTTTATTTACATAGAGTACTTTAATTCTTATTTTGTCCATTTTCACAATTCATGTTTAATGTTTTAATATTCAGCAAATATACATGATACATAAAACATATTGCCAACTCACCTCTAAAATGGATTCCTTTAAATCTTCTACAAATTTCTGTCTATCATGATCATTTCTAGCATTAAATGTCATTAATACTTTACCATCTAAATTATTTGTTAGTTGAATTCCAAACTGATAATCTACAAAAACAAAAACTTTTAATTATTAACAGATCCAAGTTATATTCAGGTCTAAATCAAGCTCAATAAATTGTTATTGCCTCAAAATATTCAGATAAGAATGATTGCAATTGTGTATTTTGAAAGTTGTTTGGTGACATAGACCCAACACAGTAGTAGCGTTTTTATGATGAGGGGAATAGAAAAGAAATAAAAATACTTACGTGAGGTTTCAAAGAGAAAAACTTGCATACCATATAATGATAATGACATTCTATAACTATAGGTTATAACTGATTTCTTCTTACTAAATATCTTAGTTATCTGTTATAAATCAATACAATATTTGAATATAATTAATAGTAATGTAGGACAAACCAAATAGGAAAACAGTAGTTTATCCAAAATATTATTGAGAAAGCAAAATAAGTATTTAACTGGAAAAAAGGACCTGTTTCTTGGTAACTGACAAATTGTGAAATTGCAAAACTTTAAGAGGCTGTCAAATTGTTCTTCTTTTTAAGCTTTCCAACAATCCATTGATATCAAGAAATGGGTACTTCACACCACACTTTGATAGGTTAAAAATAATGTCATTAAAATTGTCAAATACTGTTGAAAACTTGTAAGATCATGATGGAGACAAAAATATATAAAAAAAAATGTCATCTTATTAAAATTAGATTGTTAAAAAGCAATTTGATCTTTCCTACCAATACTTACCAATAATTGATCATTGAATAAAAATACTTCTCGTTGATGTAAACCAATTTTTTCTTTTTTACACGGATCATGTACTTCATATAGCCGACAATAACAAACTAATCTACGATGGGATAACGCTAATTGCTGTAAATAAACAATCAGTAATTGGTTAATTAACTAATTATATAATATCAAGATGTTGGTGTAAACATTTGATAATAAAATCTCAAGCTGATTAATATGGCAAGTTCTGAAATTTATCAAGTCAATCATTAAAAAAAAGCCAGTGAGATCGAAAATATGTCACGGTGCACCTTGTTCAAAACATGACACACCCCAAGTTTATGAATGAGCTCTTCCATTCATACATCTGCAGGTTTATGTTGATAGAAAGTATGCATGTGTGAAAGAGTTCATTATTAAGTTGAGGGTGTCAAATTGATTGGTTAAGAAGCAAATGGAAAATGTATGGTGTCTGGAATTGGGTTAATGAAACAAGAAACAAGAAACAGCAAATACACAGGATACAGGAAGTTGGACTCAATGTCTTTTTCTATACCTTGTGTATTTACTTTAGATACATGGTGAGCACATGCTCAAATGTTCCAAATCTTACTCATTCTTATCAGAGCACGATAAAAATGGCATGAATAAATGGCTTCAAACCATTAAGGTAAGAAAAATTTGTAGAAAAATATTCAGAATTATAAAATAATAAATCTGGGTGTAATCAGATATGCTTTATATCACTTTCTATCAGAGTTTATTATCCTTAATCTAAAAACTCTCCATCACTTTCCTCTTAAACTAATATTTACTTTTAATTTCTGAACAGTTTAACAGTGGGCGGAGTTTATCACCTGTCAATCAGGCATCAATTACAGTGCAGTCTGACATGAAATAACTAGCAACTTTTAAACACATAAAGTTGAAATTTATGGAATGGGTAACTTAAAAGATTTGAAAACACAAGTTCTTATTAACCTGTTATTCTAAATATCCTACAGTTGCTATATTCTTCAGACCAGAACTGATTTTCACAACTTTTTAACTTAAGACCTATAATTCTTTCAGGCATTGAAATAGGCAAGCTATAGGAGACCATTCAAGTCAAGTGACATTTTATCAATGTTTCTGGCCCTAAAGAAATAAAAAAATGATTATTTAACAAATGTTGACAAATTCAAACAGTACTTACTGGTTTCTTTCCCACTATACTTTGTTCTACTTTTAAAACTTGTGTAACCTGATCTACACCAGCTTTAAATTCCTGACTTTTCACTCTTTCATAAATACCAAATAATAAATCTCTATCTATATCATCACCAGAATCAATTCCTGTAAATATACAATAACAGAACTGTAGTGGGAGAACATTCAGATCAGGATAAATTTCAGATATAACAAACAAATAAATATTTGGTAAATAAATCTAAATTCAAAATAAATTCTAGAGATTGAACAATCAGATAACTTGAAACATATTTATATCAAGAAATATGGCATTTATGTAGGCATGTGACAGATGATCAAAAAACAATAAATCCTGCAAATTTGCAATTTTGGCTTAGTATATATATTCAATGCTAGCAATCAATAGTTCTTGGTCAAGATTTAAATCATAAATTCATTTAAGGTATCCATATTCATATAGTGCAATCAACAGCCCTGTTCAACTCATCAAAATAAAAGAATATAACAGTTGGTACTAAAGACATATTTTAATAACTGGTCAATATCAAGCACCATGTAGATTTTATGAGGCGTTATAGAAACCATGAGGCGTTCATGTTAACACCTTGTTTTTTTATGAACATGTCCATCAATAACCTAACTATAAACTACATCTGTTGAAGAAATTTCAACACAAGCTAAATATATAAACAATTTGAGAAATCAATATGGCTACTGTAGTAATTAAATTTCATGTAGCCAGTGATTGAGAAGTTAAAACAACTACTTCTCTATTCCACTTTGTTATTGTTTATTTAGTCCATTATGGTAATTCCCTTTAAGTTTTTCTTCAAAATCTAGCCTAATTTGCAGTCAAAAAATCTAAAACTGGACAAAAAAGGCAAAATCATAGCAATAGCACCGTTCTGTTCTACTAGTAGGTTTTTTATTGCATCAAATTTCTCATTATTCCTAATCAGTGTGACATATTCGGAATTTGTTCCAGAGTAATGAAATTTACCCCAGAATTCATTTTGTCAGCCAACCATTTCTGTGTTATAGTCAGACTAGACTGGCAAATAGAACAGAATCAACAGCCTACTCTCCAAATATAAGATAGTATTGATTACCATTGAATGAGGTTTATATAAAGTTGTAAGTTACAGGAAATCATTAATATAAGCCAACTGTGTAAATACTAAACTTCTAGTACTGGTAAGATATTATATTCTAAACTAATAAATACTACTATCATTTACTGACCACCCGCATTAAAACAATATCAAAATACCATCAAAATTCTGTAATACACAGTAAGATACTAGCGAAACAAAATAGTCAAAATAAAATGAATATATCCTACTGTTTTGCACCTGAGTCGATGTGAGAAAATGTTTTCAAACTAGGCAAGATGCTTTCTATTTTTGTTTATCGACTGGAGAGGTATCTTGCAAAATCATTTATACAAACTTCTGCTCAATCAATCTCTAAACAACAACAGAAGAAATTTTGTCATTGCTGCAGGAGGCTTTCTCAGTAATCATTGGCTGTCTGTTAAATTGTTTGTAAAACACACTATAAAATGATTCAAGCCCACACATAAGACCTAATCTGTTTTTACTAATTTGACATTGAAATGACACCCTAGTTCAACCACCCATTATTACATCACAGGCTTTACCAGACGACATGAAAACATGACATTGAAATTGATCCAAGACTTTTCAAGGGTTTGGCATATTGTTTTAGGCTCTCTGACGACAACTTTTTGGGTGGAAAGAAAACTTCAATTCACTAGTAAGACTGGGCGTTTTTATAATTTGTCATGAATTAGTTTTGTTCAGGGGGATACAAACCATGTGCTAAAAATAAACAGTTTTAATTCAATCCAGTTTTTGTCGAAATCAAAGCACATTTATTTGATCAAAAATAGGGTTTTGGGTGTTAATTTTTTTATATGTGCGAAATGTGTCTGGCTGGTTTGATTGATTTGACAGTATTTTGGAAGTATTTTACAATAAACATATTTGATTATTATATTAATTTACCAATTACAGTATCTAAATCACTGAATTGTCTGACACAGAAAATATGAAATCAATAACCCAAGAGACTAATTCCAATTCAAGTTTAACGCTGAATTCAACATTGATACCACATACAAGATGTAGGCTGGCTTGGTACATAGAGTTAATTCACAGTTTTCTGGACAATACTACACTGTCTTGCATATTTAAAAACCTTTGTGGAAGAAGGAATAATTTCTACTGACTCATCAAGTTCAAGTCCTTGTATCAGATCTATTCCCTCAACCATCTACATTTGAAGAAAATTAGTTCTTACCTCTTAGGTTTTTGATGAAGTCGTCTTGTTTCATTTTACGTTCAGGTTTAATATTAGAATTATGTAAATCTGTATTTAACATAATTATTGCAAATGCCAACAGGAATATGGTATCTGCGGATTTGAAATACTTTGCTTGATCAGGATTACATGCACAGTAACGACTTGCAAAAGCCTGAAAGATACAACATGAAAAATAAAACGTTATGTAGACATCTATGGCAGACCTTACCACAAACAGTTGAAGAAATTTAATTATAACATTTTTTTAAGTGTCAAGAATGCATCAGATATTCTCAAAGGTTTGTGTCCCATCTCAACTGTCAAACCTGTTTATTCTTTGGAACCACATATAACATACATAAATGTCAATAAAAAAAAAAACAGTTTGTATATGATATTTGATGTAAGCAGAATTGCATTCAGTAATTCATGTTTTCCTAAAATTGCAGAAATGTGAATAAGATATATAGCTAACCGCAATATACTGTTTTTGTCTTTTTTCTAGAGAACATGTAAAAGTTTTAAATTACTACTTTCTTTCACGGCTGAAATTTTATGCAGCCATTCACATCATTCAGTTTTTAACACATTATGTTAATAATCAGTTTATGTTCGTTAATTATTTTTACAAGTATTATTTATAACATATACAAGCCAGGCAGAATACTGATGGATTTATACATAAACTAACGAGGTAGCCAGGAAAAAACAGACTGATATCTGCCAGCTGTACAATAAAATAGACTTCAAAACAGAAGAGCTGCTTCTTTCATCAACTTTTTTGATAATTTGGTTTCTCATTATTCAAATATGTTAAAGATCAACACAAGGAAAAGAAGTAGATAGGATCTAGAATTTAAGTCAAAGATATAGTCTTTGCAGAATTAGTTGGAAAGATGTAACGTTTGGTGCAGAGTTTGAATTTAAGAAGAAGGGCAACCCTAAACACTGCTTAATAAGCAGCATGAAACGAACAATTACAAAATATGATTTTGAGGGGTTTTTAACACGTACTAGTTGTAGCAGACCAATATTTGTGTCCTACACAAACAATGAAATACTATATTAAGTCAGTTAGTCCAACCTTCATCACTGACAAATCTGGAAATCCGTTAAGAAAATGTGAAAGCTCAGACTCAGTTAAGAAATCAAACATCCTTCTTACTGAATCACAAAGATAAAATGTCAAAGCTTAGGCCCTGTATCACTAAAAATAAATATAAGCACGATTCCAATGTTTTCAGTATTAGTCAAAGGAAGATAAGATTGTCAATATTTCATTAATTAAGATTTCAAGCTAATAATATCATAATCTTCCCATGACTTTCATTAGAATAATGAATATATTCATAACCATTGATAATAACTAAATTAATCAAAACAATTTCATAAACATGTTATCATAAATGAATCATGTTGGTTTTTTTAGCAATTGGATATCAAAAAGGATATTAAAAGGTTTTGACCTGCTACTGTAGGTCTCACAATATCAAAGAGAATACATGTTTAACAGGAGGAACTGGTGTAAATAATTAGACTCAGTTTTCCTGACTGGTTTCTGATACTGTAGTCAAGTACTATTTAGATGTTTCTGACCAGTGTTTTGTACTGTAGTTAATTACAATAATGATCTTTTAAAAACATTTAATCTACTTGTGGTTCTAAGAACCCACTTGAAAATCTACTTAATTTTATTATTTTCATTAAGATTTAGGTGGAACATTATATTATGTTTCATACAGGATATCCATTACAATAGTGTATGAATGAACTTTCTGGAAAAAACTATGACATGACTTCTTTTTGTCCTCTTTGTTTGTTATTCATTATGGATAATGGAATGGATCTGCATACAGTCCTGAACATTTACAGCTATATATGCAATCAATCGATAAATCACAGTGAAAAAACATATTCTAAATGTACCCATTCAATTGTACACACGCTTAGAGATTTCTAACACAAGGCAAGTCAGTAGAGAAATTCAAATTGAAATCAGGCAAAGTGTGGTCTGGGTAATTTGGTAGTTATTTCAGAAGTGAGGCATTTTTTTCATGTGCCTCATGGAAGAGCAGTCAAGTCATTTCAAGCTTTAAAACTATACATAAAAACATAGCATTCAATGCAATGAATGAAAATACAATATTTATATAAATAAGTATTGATCAAAGCTCAAAATTGAATTTGACATCAAATACTCCAAGTGGAGGCAGATGTATGTCCAGTTATTGAGTCTAAGTTCTCCACCATATGGTGTTAAGTAGATAGTAATGTAAACTAGTAATACTAGAGAGGATAAGTACTTAATAACAAACAATATATCACACACATTGGTACCATACCAAATACTAGTAGGCCAAATACTAATACTGATGGATATTCAATCACAGCTTTCTTTTATGTGTCAGATCAAGACATACTTTTTATAATGGTCTTGAAACAGGTATTTGTGGACTAAATGGATTCTAGTAATTTTGGATAAGAAATGGTAATTTTAGAAGGTTATGCCCCAGAGAAAATAAGTCGTAATGTCACTTTCAGTAAAAGCTAAAAAGGAAACTTGTTCAACACAAGACATACTAAGTTCTACTCTTGATTGAGAGTTTCCAGTATGCAAGACATGACTTTTTAGAATACCTATTCAAACAACAATAACTGTACCAAAAAATGTGTCAAAATTGCATAATCATAATCACTACAATATGAAAAGATATAGCATTATGGTCAATACCAAATTATGGTTACATAAGAAACTTGTAGATTTCCAACCAACATAAAATATTAATGTTATATATTTTGACAATGTTTCCATACACCCAACCTATGAGTAGGCCTAACATAAAATGTAGCTTCAAACAACTTGTCTACTTATCTTGTCAAACACCAACCACCTTGAAAATATCTGATGCACTTGAACAGAGAAAGATGAAAGAGAGAAATATTGTTTGTAAATTTGTTTACAAGTTGGTAGGAGGTAGATAGTTAATGTTCTTACCTCCATTAGCCGTTCTATCTTCTGAGCTTCACCCTACAATAAAAAAAACAATTAACTATTTCACAAGTCAATGAGTTGTTTCCAATAAAAATATGAAAGGTGCTTTACTAAATAAGTAACTTTTACTTTCAAATCATATCTGATTCTTTTAGACAGACAAGCATTTAAATCAGCAGCCAAATAATTTTTTTAAGCAGCAGACAACGGCAAAATTGAGCACCGAAAAAATTTGTCCCAGATTTTTACAAAGCTTGTTAGATTCATTCGGAATATATAATAATCTGTTATATTTAGATGGTGTTAAGATGTACACGAACAATCGACCAAATCAAAATATTGAGCAGCCATCACACTTACCGGCATCCTGAAATAGCCCTGGAACTTCCGTAATGCCATATCTACCTGCAGTCCAGATAAATCTATAGCTTCGGTAAAATAACTGAAATTAGAAAAGTAGAATAAAATGAGGACTTCGTTCTTGGACTATTCGTGGAAAATGTAGGAGAATGTTTAAGCATGAAGGAATAAATCGGCATTGAAATTTAAATCACCCTCAGAAAAGGTTTGGAAGGAATATTCAGTGCACAAAAAAATTGTAATTTTTGTCTATCTGTGCCTTGAATTAGTCAAAAACAAATTTGCTCGTTTTACAACGTAAAGAAAGTTAATGTATGTTTTGGCAAATTTTGAAAGAGAATTGGCAAGGGATTGGTATTTGCTAGTTAAACAGATAATATAAAACATTTTACATATTTTAGATATAGCTGACAAATACTAAGATAATCAATGCCTGTGTTCTGAATCTTAGTTCTCTAACTACAGCAAAAGGAATTGAACAGTGGGATTCTAATTGTTCTGCATTTAAAGAACTTCCAATCTAATTCCAAGATAATTAAGCCCATTAATACACAGTCCATACAGGAGGAAATATTGATTTTTGTGTATGTTGAATTCTATCATGACAGTCTGCCATAATTTCCTACTGTGTTGTTTACAATAATTATATTAATAGTTCTGCAAGGGATCTTGTCGTCTAATTTTTGGCCTCATTGACTTGATTGTAACATGTGTTAAACTCAATTAAAACTTTAATACTTTCCGGCATTGCACTGCATTGGTCTTAGATACTTAAATTAAAGAGAATTCAATTGAAGTGATTGAATTTCCTCTGTCTTTTCTAGTTTATCTTATCTATCTTATTAGATCAGGAATAGTCAATTGGTTCTGTACCATATAAAGATACTCAACCTTCTTAGACATGAAAGTGAAAAATTTGAGGGATATATGCCTTTAATATTCCATCAGTTGAATTACAATAATTATTAGAATAATAGGTATATTTTATTACAATATAACCTTGTATTGCCCTCTAGATATCATGTTACAGTAACGTTTCACAGCTCATAGAGTCATAGAATATATCATTTTACTTCTAAAGTATAAATATTCATATTATAAAACATCTTTTGTGGATTAGGGATTTTGATTTTGATAATACATTTCCAGTCATTTGAATAAAGAAATTCTGGTAAATATTCAAGTTGTCATAAAAATTTGATATATTGAAACAATGGCTGCCATCCACAAATGTCTGTCCTGGCACCAAAAAGTTACAGATACAAAATTGGCATAAGAGATGAGCCATAACCTTTCCTTGAAGAAGGCTTAGAACATTTTTGAAAGGAAAAAATTCCACTTTGATAGTTTAATCTCATCTTACAAAATCAATTTTTATCATTTGAACTAATTTCAAATTCAACAAGAACTCCTCCAAGTTGTGTATCAAAAGCACATTAGATTATAAAATATTAACTTATCGTGATAAAAACTTATATTAATCACAAAATAACATGTCAATATTTCATTGATTATCTTAGCTTATCTCATCTTAATACTATTGTTATATATTAATCTAATATCTTATTAATATAGATGTTTATATCAATATAACATATCATCATCAGTTCTATTATATATTTTGTTCCCAATGGTATTGGTATAATTAATGTAATGTTTTGTTTACTGACTTTCTTATCATCTTTAATTATCAAAAATATTCAAATTCGCTTGGAACATTATTCAAATTATTATACTTCAGAGGGTTGGTTGAAAAGTTTTAAGCCAAACTGTCTAAGACTCCAACAACGTCTATGATTTTCATTTAAATTTGCCACAAAGCCTCTCTCCAGCTTTTGTCACGGATTCTTCACGAATACTTCAAGGTCTGGATGCCGCTCAAAAAGACATTTTTGCAGCCATCTTAAAAAGTCATTTACAGCGGAAATAAGGTCATTATTACTAGATTTAAATAAAGTTCTGATCATATATTATTCAGAACAACAATTTGGCATTGTGTAGAATGTTTGCTAATATGAGGCTCAAAATCAAAATTTATTTGGATTGGGTAAAAACAGATTACTAAAACACTGACAAGAGTGACGTGAAATGTCGAGAACTCCTCATGAGATACAAAAGAACGCAGTTGAATTAATGACTATTCACTAGAATAACCATTACTTAAGGAGAATTATGGATTTTTACATCAGAACATGGATGAATTGTCCAAATATTGACAGTGAGCTTTCATGAAAACATTGTCTTTCAGTTCTGTACATGAGAATCAAAGCCTTACAAACAGAGAATATTTAATTTGATTTCCATTTAAATTTGTTTTAAAGCTCTTTTCTGTCAAAGGCTTTATGTTTGTCTCTACAGATTAAATTAACATCATCATTTATAAAGCAGACAACCTTAACTGATGGCAATTTTTATTTCCTTTGTCTTAATTTGTAATAACTATGAATCATCTATCGGAATGCCAGTAAATTGTCTAAAGGAAGCAATCAAGCGACAATGGTTTGTTAATTTCCTGAAATTCAGTTTGCTTTCTGTGGTCAAAAAGTCAAGATTTAATATTCAACAGATTGTTATCGACTTTTATCCCCTGCCTTCCAATAGACAGTCATCACTTCAACCTCATTTGCATAATGTGTCTGCAACATTGATCTGAAGCAGAAGTGTGTTGGCATGCACACAACAGATGGTGGTATCTCAAGAGGCAGTCCATTGGGTGTCCAATTTGTCACCTTAGTGACGCTGGTATCAATAGTAAAAGATGATAATGGAGAGTGGATGGTGCCAGTGAGATTAGATTTCAGCTAATTGTTTTTCATGTTTTTACTGACTGAAATAACAGACACTAGGGACATTACTTTCCCATTTTAAAAATCATCAAACTCCAATCTCTAGAATTATCTAAATATTTCCACTTATTTTATGTTGTTTGTCCCAAAATTTCAGTTTCTGATTTCAACCTTTAAAAAAAACATCTGTATTACATCAGAAAAACTCATTAGAAAAGTGTGTCAAAGACATTTATTGAAATCTTCTTATCAGATTTAAACATAATCTATAGTCTGTCATTTTTGAAAATTATGTGTCTATAAGGCTTTTTTATGAATTCATAAATATTAAAAACACAAGTTGGCCAAAAATGGACCAAAACTTTCGATTTGAATCAATCTTGCAGATACTTAAATAAAAAAAATCAGAAATTCTGTTTCTTCAATTTTCTTTGAGTACTGTAAGCTTATAATTTTTAAATAAAATTTTCTCAATTTAAGGGTAACTTTTTACTGATACTGACACATCTGGTTTGAAAGAACTACACTGCCTCTCTTGTCTGCCATGGAATATTTTGACTATCATGTAAGATTTAAAGACATTTATCATTAATTATGAAGGGTTGAAACCAAAGCAAAATAGTTAAAAAAAAAATCTGGTAACTGTCTGTTGTATCTTATTAAATTAATGTATGGTGATGTATTTAATTAGTTAAAGTTGTTATTTATACTATAATGAGCTATGAAGTTTCATAATGTTAATGCTGACTTAAAATAAGTTTGTATCCAAGTTGATTGTGAAATTTCTAAGCAGGGATATCTTTCCCTTTCAGAGTCCTGAATGGTAATGAACATTAATTACGTCAAGATAAACTGCAAATTATTTTCAGTATCATGTAAAAATTTCACTTTGTAACCGAAAGTTGGTGTCCTAACAGGGATGATCTTTGTCCAGCAGAAAAACACTACGACCTGAACAGAATTTGTTACTTGCTTATGAGAGAGGAACTGCTGTTGGTAATTGAGGCTTTGGTATGCTAGTACCTGGTACTATATGATAGTTATGAAAACTCATTTACATTGGATTACAGTGGTGTGACAAGAGAGTTAGCCTTCATTACAAACCAAAATGGAATGAAGTTTTATGTCATATTTTTCTGCAGTGATTGGGCTATGTCAGGTTTATCAACCAAAGAACAAGCGTGTGCTTTGAAATTCAAACTCATACTTACTGTAAGACCTCCATGTTGAACTGGTTCTGTAAGTTTCCTAAAAACTCTCCAATCATTTGCTTACTAACTCCCTTTCTGGTGATGAAAAACCTTGCAATATTTTTAGGAGACCCATCCAGAAATCCATGGTCTATTAAAAAATTTAACCCTTTATCTGGTTTTCTGAAAGATGCAAAAAAGTTATAAGCTTATTGTTATGGTAAATTCAAAAAGCATTAGTCAAAGAGCTTAAGGTACCAGTGATAACGAATGCGAGATTGCAAACAGAAATAAAAGTGTATGATGTTATTATATAATACAATGCCAATTCACAATAAAAAATAAAACAGAATTGAAAGCTATTATAAAGTTGAGGTAATATTACTGTGTATTGATACCAAATATCTTTTAAAATCATGAATATAATTACTTTACAAAATAATGCAAAAAAAAAATATTTTTAAGCTTGAAGGGGAATTCTGTTTTTTTTGCCCATATTTGTAAAAATCTAGAGAAATGTGTCCCACACAAATGCATTTGCATGTTTCCGCATCCTGACATCACGAAAAACCTTCAATTTAACCTAATTTTTAATGACAATCTCATGAGATTTAAAAATCAATAAAATATAGCAATTAAGATAGACATTAAAGCTGACATAAAACCAGTGAGACATGTTAGTATGTAATGTTTCCTGTTTAAATAAGTATAGAAAATATTAAAAGGTAGAATAGCAATAAAAGCCAGGTGTAGTCAGAGAAATGTGGCAACAGAAACAGAAAGAACAGATGGTAACTAATGATATATATTAAAGGAATCATCCAAAACTATAAAGCTTTTCTCAGGTCAACAGAATTCATCTCTTACAAATATTAAAAAAAAAGCCAAACGCCTATTTGTAATCAATGTAAACTTTCAAGTGCAAATGAATGTGGAGTAAAAAAAACTAATGAGCCAATTATGACAGTTACAAGATAACTATTCTTTGGATTGTTCTATCACAGAAGGGGATAGAAGATTTAAAGTTGACCTTTACTTTCAATGACTGTTGGCCTGTTGCAACTGGCAGCATCACATGATTTGCTCAAGCGACAGATGAGGTGAAAGGCTTTAAACTGCCAGTACATTTGAAGCAATAACTGAGAGGGTGAGACAAGTAGACAACAGTTGCATAGAAAGTTGCATAGAAGAAAAGTATTCAACATATTTCCCACATTACACCAAGCTGACCATTCCCAAGATAAGTATTTTGAAAAAAGTAGGAGACCCCCTTTAAGATTTCCACAGTACACTGTAAGTTTAAACATGATCTAGCCATTATAATACTATTCATGTTTTACATGATTTGCTCTGAAAGGTGAGAAGTAGAAAATGTGCCATAAATAAGTAGACCGATTTGCAACTGTTTAACAGATCTGCGGGTTTTCCATGTTGTAAAAACCATGTTTTGAAAGTAACCTGATATTTCAAACCGCCAGATTAGATAAAGAAAAACATGCAGGAATTAAGAAATGAAGTGTAATGGAGTTATATATTCATCTCTTCTGCACCTGATTGTGTTAGATGGGAAAGGAAACGTCTACTTGAGCCATTGTGGCTCCTGGAACCATTTTCAGTTATATTCAGAAAGTCTCCTAAGATCCAGATGGCCAATTTTTTGTGAAAATTTTCAAATTGAAAGCTGGTTTACTTCTACCTCTGAGCTTGTTAAAATTTCTGTTAAATCCGGATCTTTCATACTGAAAAGTAGCTGAAATGTTCCTCAACAAAGGCATTCACATGAAGAAGAAAAATCTTACTTACTTATTGAATAGATTTAATCCAATACGATATAAACGTTTCCGTTGTTTATCATTGGCACGAGGTAAGGTTTGATGATCTGGTGTAACACTCAGTCTTAATCGCGGTTGATAACTAACACTATTTTCACTAGAAATACTAATATTTTCCTGACTAATATTCTCCGAACTTGGAGAGCTTGAAGAGCACTGTCCATCATAACTGTCTGGTTCACTGGTTTCTGATATATTGCTCATACGTTTAGGCTCGGCTAGAGCATTCACATTAACATTACCATTTATAACTGGCATTATTGGAGCATTACCCTTCCGTTTCCATATAGGAGAAGTTTCTGGAGTCCGTTTCGGTGGAATAGGTTTTAAATCTTCCTCAGATTTCCGCGACCTTAATTTGACTTTGGTATTCATATAGTACTTCACAGACTGGTCCTTCAAATGTTTTTGATCAAACATTCGTGTATCTTCCGGTGATGCCAAATCCACCTTGATCTGGACATCACTTGGTGATGATGCATCATGTGACTCTGTCCGTAAACTATCATAAAGAATTGAATTACCACGAGCACTATCTACAGTTGTATTATAACTAGATTCTGAATTCAAGGAAGAGGCAGAGGGACGTTTGGTCAAGGAAACATCATGACCACCATCACTATAAACACTATCACTATGAAAACTATCAGTTAAGATATCTTCCTTGTTTTCTAATAATGTCTCAAAATCTAAACTATGGGGATCTACGCTGTTTTCTACAGTCGCAGATTTTTCTGAGTTCTTAGCACTTTCATTCATTTCTGGATAGGAATTACGATTGTTGTTTGTTTCATCAATCACTGCACTTGCAATCTTTTTGTCTTTTTCACATTCTGGAATATCTGTGAAGTCAATTTTTTTCTTGTCTCTTTTTAAGAGACCACGTCTGTTGTTGTCATTCATTTTTAAACCTTGATCAACAGACATTTGATGGGGAATATGTACACGTGTATCGTTATGTCGATTGGATTCAAATTCAGCCACCATTTTCCTTACGTCACTTCCGAACGTTTCACTTTCATCACCATTTTCATTTTCATAAGATTCTCCACTTCCATTAAATTTATCATTATATATAACTCGATCAGTCCAAATAGTATTACTTCTTCCAATTTCTGATAACCGTTTGGAATATCTCCGTTCACCTACAGAGTGGCGTAATTTTTGGAAATTTTTAGTCATACAATACTGACGGAATGCTCTTTGAATAGTTTTAGCAGCTCTACGAGAACGAATTGAACCGCCATATTTCCTCTCCAACATCTCCACTTGTTTATCATGTAGATCTTGAGACAGTTCGTAAGATACTGAAGATGTTCTGTATTTCTTGATCACATCATCACTGGAATTTTTCAGAGATCTCTGTCGCTGGAGTCGGCTGCAGCTAATACTGCCCTGACTCACGAGCTTGGAAGTACGAGGAGACTCATGAGGTGAGTTGCCTACTGACTGGGACTTCCGAGATCGTATTTCTTCACCAAACTTGGCACTTGTGACACTGAAATAGAAAATATAATTGAATTAAATCACAGTCCAAATTATTTCCTAAAACAATTATCAAAACCAATTAACTTTTTTATCACTTACTATTTCATGAATTCTATCATGACATAAAGAATTTCCTCATTAGAAATGGTAGAACTCTTTGTCGACACTCTATCCTTAAATTGTTTTTTCTTATCATTAGTTTTCTTTTTTCTATCCATTTTCTGTCGACACGATTTTTCCATTATCAACAATACAATCAACAATAAACAAACTTCAAACAGTCCCGCAGCAAACTTTTACTAGTACTAAAACTCCCTTCACATTAAGAGAACTGACTTTCTCACACAAACTTTTTTATAAAACTGGCTGAGTATGTATAGATAAAACAAAAGTTTGAGGATTTCAAAACCAAATTTACAAGATTCATGAGTCGTCTGTCTATATGTCTGCCCTGATTCAACCCCAAAAAATCATCATAAATAACATTTTTAATGTTTATAACACACGCTTTTATCCATCAAACTGCACACGCTCATGTCGTGTTTTTTTTTCATTCAATAAATAAATGTTCTTTCATGACATTTCAACACAAAGTATAACTGTCCTTCAGTTTAAAAATTTCACGAGAATTCAAAGCACATGCAGAATCAAACTTTAGCCACTCTTTTGATGTCTGCATCCATTGAAAATTCTCTCGCCAGATGTATAAAACTGCAGATTAAATTCAGGAATCCTCAGAAAATGGAGCCACATTTTTTGACGTCTGCACTAGTATCCATTAAAAGTTTTCTCGCCAGATTGTATAAAAACGAAGCATTGATGTAAGTATGAAGAGAAGTTTGGAGCCAGTCTGACGTCTGTTACACTGGTATCTATTGAAAATTTTGTACACTGTTTACATTGATAGCATGCTTATTAATCTGTTTGGTAAACTTTATCTCTGTATAGTTACCGCCCTATATTATTTAATAAGCTTATACAGTTTTATTATCACGCGAAAGTTGTATTATTAACAGTCATAAACTTGTGAATTCAAATCTGTCATGTTAAAGGAGGATTTTGAAAAATTGCGCCTCAAAAGAAAAGTGATGAATATAAGCCTCTACCATACTTCAACATTTATAATTGTACATAGGGGGGTATATGTATAATTTTACAGAAATAACATAAACTAACAGTAATTTTTTTAAAATTTTTGACCTGAAACAAAAAGAACTTAAATTAAGCTTATCCTGACCTGAAATTAGAACTTTCACAAAATCCAGAAAATAATGTTGGGATCTTTTTATCTCTATAAACATACAAATCCTGTTCCATCCACTACAACTATGTTAACAACATGTTTTTCTTGGGAGATATCTTTAGTTCCTGAATATATCTTATCAACAATAGTAAGATCCTGTTTTCAAATAACATATAACTTAAACTTTATCATTCCAGTTCATTTGGTACATCAAGACTTCTTCACATTTTATTCACAGACAAATCAAATCATAAAGTATTCCAATGTCCACTGCTGTCTTGTTGTTTGTTATTTAATACATATCCCCAGTACAAAAATGTAAAACTTTACGCTTGAAATAATCCAGAATAATTTGAAATATTTTTAATATGATATACCCATGATATATTTACCTAATTTTAGTATTATATACTGTAGACAGAGGTGTCCAGATACTGACGGAGGTGTCGAGATACCAACAGAGGCAGTAAGAATTTAATAACAGTCCCTACTAACAGTTTAATAATAGTCCAGCTATAATCTCAATATCACAGTATAATACAAGCTACAAGTTTTATTATTCAAACATTGTTAGAATGAGATCAACTGACAGAATGGAGGCGTGTCTATCACAGCTGCTGCTTGTTTTTATCTGACTGGTTTAACTGTTAATAATAATACTACTGTAACCAATCATAAAAACAATGACAGCCTAGTCATTCTAGATATCTCTTACCAGACGCACGAATCTATCATTTCTATATCCTACTAAAACCACACTAGGTCCAGTTTTATCCAATATAACTAAATGTTGAATGTATAATAAATGGCCGTCTGTTCAAAACCCAAGTTGCAGCTAGCGGTTTTTAAGAAGGTTTTAAGGTATCTTTCAAAAACAACGTTATTATTTTTACATATCAACAAAACACGCCAATCTAATCTCTAATCTTTATCCAATACAATTTTATTATTCTGAATGATGGAACACAAAATGTCAGACTACCCAAATCACAAGTTATCTTTCAGAAACTATATTATTATTTTTACATCATGCTAACAAAACCACACCAGTTTTCTCCATGATTTATCCAATAATTTTGAATGACAGGACAAACGGCCGACGATCCAAAGCCCAAGTTGTATGTAGGCTAATTTTTTTTTTAAGAAGGTTTTTTTATTACGTCCGCTTCAGAAACTACATTATTATTTTTACATCAGGCCAATAAAACCACACCACACCATTCCTTTTCATGTAGCTATTCATTATCCATTACTCTGCTATTAATTTTTTGTATGGAAAGCAATGGCAATGACCGTAGTCAAGGCTAAATTTACATATTAAAATCTACCTTATAAAACCTACAAATAATATTTTACATTATATTAGTAGCTTTGTGATTCAAGACATAAAAACATGTATTGGGTTTAAATCTTTTTCTAAAGCCTACATCTTATGAATGTTTACGAACTCTTTAAAAAAGAAATTAAGTTAAATCTCTCCTGACAACAATGACATCAATCACAATATTAATACTGTAACCAAGTACCATCTCAGGCAGGAAATAATTCCAGAAAGAATATTGTTGCTGCAGACAAGTGCTATTTTTAAATCTTATTCAACCTAGTTGACAGTTGTAAGTGACAAGTGTTAATGTAATCCTCAATAACATGATGTAAGGTAGAGTCAGGAGTAAGTTATCATGAAATAGTTTGATTAATGAACGAATGCCAAGGCCGTTGCACAATCCAAGTGCAAAAAGGGCTTAGGGGGATTTGACGATTTATAAAATATTTATGGTTTTTCAAAAATGACACTTTTGTCTCAATTAAGCTACAGCGTTCAAGAATTGTCAGGAATACCATGGAATTTCTAAAGTTCTGAACATTGATGTGGTCACTTCTAAAGTTGTGCATGACACTCATAGAAAAGGTCAAGGCGCTTTCTTTAACAACTTGTTTTAGACATGGATAGTTAAATAAGGCAAATAATTGCGCTGTATGAGATCATGTCCACTGCAAAACATAAAATGTTGTTTCAAACTGAATAAAGTGAAGGTCATCAGATACTTTTATCTTAACCAAAAAGGAAATGGCACAATTATCACCGCCAGTTGACTGAATTATCTCATTTCTAAACAGGATTTTATCAACTTAGAGTACAGGAAACAGTAGAGGTTAATTTAACACCAATCATCAACAGGCTCTGAGATATTTCATGTTAAACTAATGAATAGCATATTATAGAACGTATATCTGATGTACACTGAACTTCAGAATGGAACAGATGTGAAATGAAAGAATCCAAGTCCGAGGCCAT